TGAAGATGCATTTGTCATTCAAAATCGTGGGTCATGATGTCGGTGCACTGACCTCGTACAATGCACAGCTAATCCCAGGTTGAAGACCGCAGCGTTTAAGGGAAGGACCTCGGACGACTGTCGGAAGGACCTCAGGTATGGCCAACACATAGTTCATTTCCACTGTACAGTCACTAAACACTGATCACTTAATCAGTTACTGATACTCCGAAACACTGATAATCCAAAATCGTAGAAGTATCCTGTGGAAGGAGAGGAGGGTGTCGAACTGTTTGAATCTGCGTTAAAATGGAGTGGTGCTGAAAGGGCCGATAAAATCAAGAGCATTATGCCGTCAAGAACTGCTCAAAATTACTGCCATTAACCCGGAGACACAAGTCAGTACGAACCGGAATTTGTTCCTGGACACGCCGCAGCGTGTCTACTGAAACATTTCCAATGGCACCATGGATTCACGCCAACAATATTTCCATGCTGTCCACCAGTTCGTGGTACACTTCATTCTGGAACAATGTCTACAAAACAAATACATAATTTGAGTAAAAAAAAATTCAGCATTATTGATGAAAAATATCAGCATTATTATAATTACCTTCAAGTATCCCTAGAAATAAAAATCCATCGGGTTCATATTTTGTCTCGGAAGCGCGTACATTTGCGGCATAGTGTGCCGTAGCACCATCCATTAGAAACCATATTTTCTGCCGGATCTCCAAAGGAACATCATCCAAAAGTTTCGGCAGAATATTTCGCAAAAAAGNCATCGGGTTCATATTCTGTCTCGGAAGGTTTCACTTAAAAGAGCGCGTACATTTGCGACATAGTGTGCCGTAGCACCATCCATTAGAAACCATATATTCTGCCAGATCTCCAAAGGAACATCATCCAAAAGTTTCGGCAGAATATTTCGCAAAAAAGATGTAAATGCTGGATCATTCAGCCTGTCGAGCAGGATATATGTCCGAACGATAACTTTGCCGCAAATTCCGGTCCATAGGTTCACCGAAAATCGAACCTGCGCCTAGCGTATACGAAGCGCACGCGGATTCTCATCGCACCACACGTGCAAATTGTGACGATTGAAACACCCTTCTCAGAAGAGTGCCTCATCTGTCCACAAAATGTACTTGCAGAACGACGGATTCCGCGCCACTTCCCCAACAGCCACCTTGAATACTGAACCCGTTTTCCAGGTCCACTGGATACAACAGATGCACCCGTACGACCTTGAATGGGTGCATCAAATTTTCTTGTAGAATACGGTGTACCGACGAACGACTAACCCTGGAAAAGGATGTAAAAATGCATTTCTTTTTATGTTATTAAAAAACACGGTAGACTTACCCCGTGCGACGACTCACGCTGCGTACACTTTCTGTGCCGTCCTCTTGAAATGCTGCGCAGACGATATCTTCAGTGGCCATTGTTCTTCGAGGTCATGGCCTCCCCACCTCGCTGTCAATTCTACGAGGCACTCCGATGCGCCATCAAGTGCAAAGACTGTGAGATATCTATTATCATCTCGTCAACAATGAAGGCCAGGTATCTCGGCAATTAAAAGCTGTTTCATGAAGTAAACTGAACTGTACCTGTAGCAGCTACATTTATCTGATGATTTGTATTCTAATTGATGCTTTGTATTCACAATATCAAGTAACTACAAATGAGAAAAGTAAAAATTGATGCAGATTAGAAATAAAGAACTTACAGTTCCCTCTGAAGTAGCTCGCTTATCATTTGTATTAGTACTGTTCTCGTTTCCTGAATTTTTTTTTTTTGCCACAATGAGGGGATCCAGATTCGTTCATCGTACTGATTGAAGC